CACCTCAGACTGAGGAAGTCTCTCGAATGAGAGACGAAACGTTTCTAGATTTTTTTGCTTTGTTTTGTTTTTTGTGGTTTTTTTTGAATGTCCAGAGGACCAGATTGAACTTTTTTGGATTTTTCTACCTTGATTATTGAGCATGCATCAGGATAATTAAAAAATAAAAATAAATAAAAAATCACAAATGTAAGTCACAGATTTACAAAAGAACTCATACTGTCGCAGTACCTGCGTCCCACATCTTTAAAATGTCCATAAGACAAAACTCCATTTCAGACTCTTGGAAAACAGCCTTTGTTCTTCCTTTGCTGAAGGGAGGTGACCCCACCTCACTGAACAACTATCGACCAATCTCTAAACTCTGCATTTAGCCAAGGTTCTAGAAAAACTGATAAACTCTCAAATTGAAAAGTATCCGGACTCATTTAACATCTTACCTCATCATCAATCTGGTTTCAGGAAACAACACAGCACAACCACTGCTTCACTGAAGGTTCTTAATGACGTTGTTGAAGCAATGGATGCTAACGTTTATTGTGCTGCACTTTTCTTAGACCTGTCTTTCAGTCTTTCAAGCTTCCAGTACTGTGGATCATAACATCTTGTGTCATAAGCTCTCAGATATTGATTTCTTAGATCACACCATTGGTCACAATGTGTTCAACATAATGGTACTTCCTCCAGTTATTTAACAGTCAACAATGGTGTACCACAAGGCTCAGTCTTAGGACTCACCCTCTTTACAATCTACATAGGTAACGTATGTCAGAGCATCCCTGATGCATCCTTTCACTTCTACGCTGATGACACAGTTGTTTACTGTCGAGCTAAAACACTTACAAAGGATTTCCAGCTTTTGCAATCCGCTTTCAACATCATCCAGTCTGATTTGTTCATCCTCAAACTTGTCCTAAATGCAGACAAAACCAAAGAGATGCTTTTCTCAAACAGGAAGCTGGTCCCAGCAGTTCTTCCTCTGATCTCATCCTTAAATGGTGTCCCTATTGAGTTTATCGATTCCTACAAATATTTGGGTTTCTTGGTCGACTCGCATCTCTCGTTTAAGCTTCACATGGAAAACTTGGTAAAGAAACTGAAAGTTAAACTGGGTTTCTTTTTCAGAAACAGATCCTGTCTAACTCTGAATGCTAGGAAACACCTTGTATACTTTCCTTCTCTCCATTGATTACAGTGACATTATTTACATGAACGCTCCTACAAGCACCCTGCAGATTGTCGTAAAAGTCAGGAAATTATGGTACTTGATTCCTTGGCATTTTTAATTGGATGTCGATCTGACAGTTTTTCTGTGTGTGTGTGTGTGTAACTAGCCCTGAGGCTGGTGGGTGGTGGAATACTAAAGGCTGCGTGATAGTGTCCAAACATTATGGATACACTGTGTGCTACTGCAACCACACCACCAATTTTGCCTTACTGCTGCAGGTTTATGATGCACAGGTAATGTTTTGATTCCAAGTGATGAGTGTGGATTTTTGTGCATTTTTTTATGCAGCTATTGACACTGTATATACTCTTTGTGCCAGAGGAGCGCAGATCATGAAAAAGCTCTGCAGGTTCTAACATTCATTGGCTGTGGAGTCTCTCTGTGTGGCCTCCTCTTCACCTTCATCCTCTTCATTGCTGTGGGGTGAGTCACAAATATCACAGAGATTTCTCTGAAAGCACCAAGAGTTAAATTAATCCATACAATAATGCTGTACATGTGTGAGCATTACTGCAACAAGTCTTTGTTTTTTCTATAAAATGCACAAACACTACAGTGTGACTTTCCCTCAGATGCTGAGTTCTGGGTTTTTTGTGTGTAGAGTCCCGAATTCTGACCGCACCACTGTTCATAAGAACCTGATCATTGCCCTGGGACTTGCTGAGCTTCTGCTGATGTGCAGTGACTGGGCATCTGAAAATGAGGTAAGTCTCTAAAGTGTCTCAGTTACATAATGAAATAAACTTAGAGAAAAGCTTTGAAAAAAAAAAAAGTGTTCCTGAAAGGCATTATGCCACTCACTGATGCTGTTTATGAGGATACCTCAGCAGAACCATTTGAACAGCTGAGATTTTTAGGCCTAAAAGTATTTGAAACCAGTCTGCCTTTACATGAATGTTGCACAAGAAACAGGAGTCATCTCCTGGAGGTCATGAACGGTTGTAACTTTAATTAGAAGTAACAAGTTCAAAGTAGTTCAAAAATATTGAAAGACAAAAAACTAATATGTACTAATACTAATTCTCAAAAATTTCCCCTGGGATTAATCTAATATAATCAATAATGTAAATAATATTATCACCAATATAATTATAAGCAAATGTTTCATCAGCAGATGTATTCAAGCTGAAAATTATTTGTGGAAGCATTTGTTGTAAAACTGATTTTTTGTGCACACTTCAGGGGAAAAAATCAAAGTGATTTGTTGTGAATGCAGAACTGAAGATGACACATTTGTACCATGCTCATTTTGTGACTTTGTTAAGGCGGGATTTGAACTCAAGTTGGCTGCTTTGTAGAGAAGAACTTAACCCAGCTCTATATAACTAAACTGCTCGGGGTGGGGGCCACAGTTACTGAGAGCCAGCAGCTCAGGGGCCAGACATCCAGCAATAAAAGTCATTATGTAAATAAACCAAGTATTACAATGATCTGTGGGCTTTAAATTTGTTTATTTTGTTACATCGAATCAACACAATAAACAGAACCCAAACCCTGACACCCCCAAAAATGTATATATTTTTAACACATTGGTGGGCCGGAGTGAGATCACACGTGGGCCGGAAGTGGCCCACGGTCCGCCAGTTGAATAGCCCTGACTTAACCTGCATACCAAGCAGTGACTAGATGCTTGAAGAGTAATTTTTCTTTGTGTGTGTGTGTGCGTGCGTGCGTGCGTGCATGTGTGTGTGTGTGACTGTAGCTTGATGCATGTTTTTTTTTCCAATCATTCTTATTAGGTCACTAAAAATGACAGAGACGTCATTGCTTGAATCAGTTCTGCTGAAATGAAGTCGAGGCAGAGGATGAGTAAATGGCAGAAAAGTGTGAGCTCTGGATAAGAAATATTAAATCAGGAGGTTAATACATGTAGTTTGGCAATAAGAGCTCAATTTTTTTTCAAGCACAATTTTTCCAACCTGTTAAATATTTGACTTGACTGAGGAAGGCACTGAACGTGGTTTGTCCGTGTTCATAGGCAAGAACTCGTGCGCTGATCCGTGCTTTGCTGAGAAAGCATACTTTTTTTCTTTCTTCTTCTTCTTTGTGTGCTTGAGGGACCTGTTTGTAACCTGAGTCAGAACCGTAACTTTTGAGACTGGAGACTGAGGACACCCAAAAACCTCTACTCAAATTATGCTAAACATGATTGAACCATGTTTGAAAAATAAAGATTAAAAAAATTAAACAAAAAAAATCATAAATAACTTTTGCTAATTTTTAAATGGTAAAATAGTTTCCTCAAAATGTTTATCTAAAAGTCAAATTATTAAACTTCTATCTATTTCATTTTAAAACTAGCATTATTAAAGGCATAATAAAAATTATTAGAATTATCTAAATGTTAAATTATTAAATATATTAAATACTTTTAGTTTAAAAATGGAAACTTCGATACCCATCGTCCAGATTGACCCAGAAACAACTTTGAACCCAGTGTTCCAACATTCAAGGAATGAATCTGCTATCACACCTGGAGATCGACAAGGAACAACAAAGATGCTACGGCAAATGTGACAGGTCAGGGGGAGTAGACCATCATTCACCCATCAGAGTATGGGTACGAAGCCCCACCAAAAATCCACGAGGAACTGAAAATCAAAACCAATTGCACATATCAGCATCAAATGTGGCATATACCAAGGTAATGAACTGTCCCCACTCCTCTTCTGCATAGGCCTAAACCCCCTCACCCAGATCATTGGAAAGAGTGGCTATGGATACTGGTTCCAAAGTGGAACTATAATCAGTCACTTCTACATGATGACATCAAGTTGCATTCCAAAAATGAGTGAGACATCGACTTGTTCCATCTCACCAGGATATACAGCAAGGACATTGCAATGCCATTTGGGCTGGATAAATGCAGTTGAATGGTATGCACGAGAGGCAAGGTGATCAAAGCTGAAGTGGTTGAACTGCCTGAAGGCAACACTGCAGAAATCCAAGAAAGCTTGAAACACCATGGAATTCATCAGGCAAACGACAATCATGATGGCTGCAACAAAGTCAGTCACAACCAAGTACCTACAGAGAGTGAGCAGGTCCTACAGAGCCAGCGAGAACAAAGTCTGAGCCATCAACACATATTCAGTGCCAGTCATCAGTTACCCAGCTGATATAATAGCCTGGCCAAATGAGGAGATAGAAGCCACTGACATCAAGAATTGAAAGCTCCTCACAATGCATGGAGGGTTTCACCCCAAGTCCAGCACCCTGAGACTTCACACTAAAAGAAAGGAGGGAGGCAGAGGACTAGTAAATGTCTGAGCCACTATACAGGATGGAATAACTAAGATCCTTGAATAGATCAGGAGGAAAGCCCCCAATGTTGATCTGACGAGTGAATATCTCAGGCAGCAGCAGAAACCTAATTGGACCATGGATTATAGACTGGAGTTCCAACAGTCAAATAGGAGACACTGTCAAGCGTGGTGGAGAATGGAAGGGCTAAGACACCATGGGACTTCCAGATCCAGATGGCTAACCAACTGGACATTAGTTGACTAGCAAGAAAAGAAGGCATTGATGATAGATGTAGCAATCCCAAGTGACTGTATCATCAATAAGAAGGAGCACGAGAAGGTAAAGAAATACCATGGGCTGAAAGAGGAAATACAAAAGTTGTGGAGACTCAAAGCATCAGTAGTCCCAGTGTTCATTGGAGCTCTTGGAGCTGTGAACTCCAAACTGGAAGAGTGGCTCCAACAGATCCCAGGAACAACCTCAGAGATCTCTGTTCAAAAGAGAGCAGTCCTAAGAACAGATAAGATACTGAACTCAAACTCCCATGCCCCTGGTAGAGGACCTGAATTTGAAGTGAAGTTGAATCACCCAAGTGAAAGAGTAGGGCGAGCTACATGTTATTTTTTTTATATACAGGTTCTGGTTAGGGAGTCAGCTGATGAGTCACTCAGGTGTCACAAAGCATTTTAACTTCTCTGTAACTAGCAGTGATTAACAAATCCAGCTTTAATGATGATTTGTCCATAGTGAAATAAAACAGGCAGCTCTAACAACACAATATATTTATCTGTTATCAACTATGAGTAGCATTTAGTAGCATAAAAGTCCTTTTCTAAATGTTTTCACCACATTTTATTTTCAGTCAGTTCCACGGCTGGGCTTGGTTTAGAATGTGTTCTTGTTCTCTATGAAAGATTAACTTGAACAAGGTGATGCTAACAAGCTAGCTGCATTGGTCTGCCAAAACTGCTTTACAATGAACACTGTCACAGTATGTCCCGTAAGTGATTCCCAAAGACATACCTCAATTCAATTCAATTCAGTTTATTTATATATCGGTAGTCCCAAGTCACAACAGAAGTCGTCTCAGGGAACTGAACAGAAACATTCATATATAAAAATTGTAAGTTAACACTAATTATCTGAGGAGAAGACTGCTTTGAATTTAACTTCATTGCAGAACTCATCTTGAGCAAGCACAAAGGCAACAGTGGAAAGAAAAAAACTCCCTCATGAGGAAGAAACCTTTAGCAACAGGCTCAGGACAAGTGGCCATCTGCTTCGACTGACTGGGTTTGAGAGGAACAGATACACAATGGCAGGTCAAGAATCACATGTCAAGATAGAAATAGTATGAAATTAAAACTATTCAAATTTAACAATTAATTTAGGAAAATGAGGTAAATTTGTCCTCCAATAGTCCAAGTCTATGACAGAATAACAAGACAACCCAAATTATAGGATTTAACAAAAAGGAAAGTCTTAAGCCCAGTCTTAAAACTGGACAATATGTTAGCCGTATGGACAGAAACTCTGTTATTTCCACAAGAGGAGCCCGATAACTGAAAGATCTTCCTCCCATTCTGCTTTTGGAAACTCTAGGAACCGCAAGTAAACCTGCAGTCTGAGAGCAAAATGTCTGTTAAGAAAAATATGGAACAATGAGATATCAAATATAAGATGTATCTAGGTTGTTGAAAGCTTTGTAAGTTATAAGTAGGATTTTGAACTTAATTTTGAATTTCACAAGGAGCCAGTGGGGAGAAGCTAAAACTGGAGAGATATGATCTGTCCTACTAACAAGTATTTAGACACCCAGATAATAAACCATTGCAATAGTCCAGTCTAGACGTGACAAATGCATGAACCAGTTTTTCTACATCATATTTAGATAAGATGTTTCTAATTTTAGTGATATTACGCAGATGGAAGAAGGTGGTTCTCGTAACATTTTTAATGTCAGGGCTAAAAGACATGTCCTGATCAAAAATAACACCAAGATTTTTAACATTAGAGCTGGAGGACAGATTAATGCATCTAAGGAGGGAGAAAGACTGAAAAATTAATTCCTAAGGTGCTCAGGTACAAAAACCAAAACCTCAGTCTTGTCTGTGTTCAACCGGAGAAAATTAAGAGACATCCAAGTTTTTATGTCTTTAGGACATGCTTGTAGTCTAAGTAACTGATTGGATTCATTGGGTTTAATGGACAAATAAACAGTAACTGTGTATCATCAGTATAACAATGAAAATGTATCCCATGCTGTTTAATAACTTTAACTAATGGAAGCATAGGGTAACAAGTATTGGTCCAAGCACTGAACCCTGAGGAACTCCATGACTAACTTTGGTGTATGAAGAAGATTTCTTATTTACATTTACAAACTGGAATCTATCAGATAGATATGATGTAAACCATTTTAGAGCCGTTCCTGTAATTCCAATATCATATTCAAGCCTCTGTAGTAAAATATTGTGATCAACTGTATCAAATGCAGCACTGAGGTCTAACAGGACCAGTAGAGACACAAGTCCATTGTCTGAGGCCATGAGAATATCATTAGTGACTTTTACTAGTGCTGTTTCTGTGCTATGATGAGCTCTAAACCCTGACTGAACTCCCTTAACAGATTATTTATTTGCAGATAAATGGTAAATGGACTGTACTTGTATAGCGTCTTTCTATATTTTTGTATTGAACGTTTTTTGCAGTCTTTCTATCTTATTTCAAGATACTCAAAGCGCTTTACACTACAATCTGTGTCCTCATTTACCCATTCATACAGCACTCTACTAGATCTCTACAAAGATAATTCAACAAATCATTCTAAAGAGACTAATCAGTGTTTTAGATCACATTCATACACTGATGGGGCACACATCAGAGGCAATGAGGGGTTCAATGTCTTGCCCAGGGACACTTCAGCATGTGACTGCTGGTGGATTCGATCCCCCAACTCTCGCATTGGAGGACGACTGCTCTAACCATTCATAGAGCCATATTTAGCAGATCCTAGATGTGGTTATTAAATAAGGGAAATACATCTTTAAATAGCCTGGTTGGGATCTAGCAGGCATGTGGATGGTTTGGATGAGGTTATTATTTTTGACAAATCAGAGAGCTCAACAGGACAAAAACTGTCCAAACATAAATCAGGTTCTAGTGACATTTTAAAAGTTGTCTCATCTAACATGGAACCAGAGGTGACAGTAGGAAGGTTGGTTTGAATTTTTCCCTAATTGAAATAATTTTATTTATAAAAATGACCTCCACATGTTTTGTTCCCACCTACTCTCCATCAACATTGTGATTGCTTAATATTCCTGTCATAATAAACTGTTAAGAAACTAAGTAATCCTGGAGAGGTTTTAACCAAACTAAGCCTTTTCTTTGGACAGTGAAGTTCTAACCAATGACAACATTCCTTCAAACATGGTTCTGCCTGGAGATTTACATTTGAAATAACCTGATTGCTTAACTTTATTTTCATAAATTAAAAACAGTTTCTTGCTCAGCTGCATAAGACAATTTACAACAAAATACAATAAAACTATATTGAAGTTAGGGCATTAACAGAGTATTCGAGTAATTTACACATCGATTGCTAGGACATCTATCGAGGTTAAAAAAGTAACGTCGAGTATCCGTAGTGACGTCATATTATGTGACCACCGTATGACCGTAGGGGGCGGTGTTGTACTGTTGCAGGTCACAGAGTATGGTGTAACACCGGGTCCAATCCACCGAACCAGAACCAGTTTCCTCTGACCTTGTTTCACAAACAAAAAGCAAAAAATATTAAACTCTAAACCTATAAAAAAAAAAATCTATAAACATATTAATCTCTAAAACTAAACTTAATGCGCACCACAGCTGGTGGTCGTGCGGGGTGGTCGACCCCCCCCCCACACACACACACACACACACACATACACACACACACACTGTTTTAAGTTTTGTTTTTGACGTGCTGCGTGTTTCTTCACGTTTGCAGTTTAATAATAATAACTAATAGTTTAGTTGTTGCTGTGACTTATTTGCAGTATGATAAATGGTAGGAGCATAATATACGCTCCCAATGTTTTGTTGGTCTTTTTTTGTAAATAATTACCTTTTTTTGTGGTTTTATTTATTTATTTATTTTTGTATCTTGAGATCTATGATGTCATCAAATACTTGAGTTCTACTTGGGTTTTATTATGTTAATGTCGAGTTTTAAAATTATATACTCGTTCAACCCCTAATTGAAGTACATATTTTGTATATCATAAATATTCAATAAAATTTGCAATATTCAATTCAATTAGGACCCTTCTTTGAAGACGTAGAAGGCCTGAAGCATTCCCTACTGACTTTTTGTCAGTTATTTATTAGCAATGTTTGTATATTTCAGCAATATATGTATAAATAAAGGTTGAATGAATGAAAAATATAGTCAGGGTCACGAGTCTGCAACGTTTATTTTGTGGGTCAAAACCAGAAAGGTTTGGGAACCACTGAGGTACTGGAACCATTAGAATCAAATGTGTTGATGGAATCTCCCAACTCACACTTACTGATACTGAGCTACACCCAGAACCACACAGAAGGTGGACTCCCATACTCATTACGCTCAGCCAACATGTCAAATAAAAGGTAATGCAAATAAAAATCTAATTGTAAGGGTCTACATTGTAAATGTCTGACGCAGATTTTAAAGGTCCTACTTTACCGCCAACACCACACGTTTTAAATTACATCATGGGTAAAGAACAAGGAGATTGATAAGAATATATAATGTAGTCAACCAGGTTTTTCATATGATTCAGGATAAGAGCACTGGGTTGTACTGTGTGCACTAGTGGTGTAACATGGTGGGAGCATTCCCTCTCAAACACAAGATAATCTGCAGTTTAGGGGAATTATTTCTTAATGGAGACTGAGATGGTATAGAGGTAGGGCAGCCGACCCGGGACCAGAAAGCCGTGGTTCGACTCCCAGCCATTCCCACATGCCGTGGTGTCCCTGAGCAAGACAACCAATCCCTAACTGCTCCCTGGGTGCTTACATAGCTGACCACTGCTCCACCTGGGTGTATCTCACATGTAATGGGTTAAATGCAGAGAACTAATTTTGTCATTGTATGGGAAAATACAATGATGACAACACATAGCACTTTACTTAATAGTTTTTTATTTTTTATTTTAATACTGAAGACTAATCAATTTGTAGAACTGTAAAGCTGACCGATGGTGTAAAAAATTATTCTGAACACATCTCCCTGGCATAGCCTGACATCACAGTTTTTGTCCATCTTTGATACCACAGGCAGCTTGTTACCTGGTGACTGCACTGCTTCACCTTTTCTTCATGGCTTCCTTCTCATGGATGCTAGTAGAGGGCCTTCTGCTTTGGAGCAAAGTTGTCTCTGTCAACATCAGCGAGGACCGCAGGATGAAACTCTATTACATCATTGGCTGGGGTAAATTTCCAACTTAACTTCTGTGGTTTGTCATGGTTCAATTTGATCAATGAGTCCTGCAAAGTTTGTTGCTTTGAATGTGAAAGGGTTCATCTGAAGGACCTGATCACTCTGGATGATAACCCTTCTGTGATCTCTATGGCCTACACAACCTATTAGAATATACTGTAGTTGGATTGCATCAAATCTGAAAAACATCCTTCAATGTAAAAGGTAATTATGATTCTGTTATACTCCAACTACTTAACAAATAGTGAAAAAACCTACATAATCCAGCACAGGTAAGAAAAAAGTAGCAGCAACTAACCACTTTTTGTTTCCAGTCACTGAGCAAAGATGTAAATTGGAAATACCTTCTGTCCATCCGCCCATTTTATGAGCTGAATAACTTGAAAAATAAGTGAGGTACTGACTTTGAATTTGATGTGCCTGCATCTAGGCATAAAAAAGATCCCTCTCAAAAATGGGTTACTACTGCAAAAAAAAAAAAAAAAAAAAAAGATAACCACTGCCATACATACAGTATACAGTATGTAAACTGGCCACTCTGATCATTTGAGGAAACCATGCTTTTTAGTTTTTGTATTGCTTAAACGTATAGTTTCCCACATGAGTGGGGTGGCCAAAAATTAATCTATTAACAAGGTTAAGTCAGGTCCTCTGGATGGATTCTTCTTTGTTGAAATGTTTCGTCTTTTATCCAAAAGACTTCTTCAGTCTGCAGAGCTGCACTAAACTCAGTCTTATAAATAGCACCTTCTCGTAGTGGATCAACCAGTTTGTTGGTGACATCCAGAACTATTTGTTCACATGATAAAGGAGGACCATCAGCCTAACAATGGATCATTAGCACCTGATGGCTGTTTACTATTCACAGGGGGTTGAGTGATACTAGCAATCACAGCATTGTAAGAGGGGGACAGTTGAACCCGGAGGCTCCGCCCCTGTTTAATGATGCACATTTTGTTTCTTCACAGTTTTGGCTGTCAGCAGCAAACTGATTGCTCCACTATGAGAAGGTGCTATTTATGAGACTGATTTTAGTGCAGCTCTTCAGACTGACAAAGTCTTTTGGAAAAAAGACAAAACGTTTGAAGAAGAAGAATCTGTTCAGAGGACCTGACTTAACTTTGTTTGCAACAACAAAAGTTAAATCATGTCATCTGAACCAGTTTTTTTTTAAGTGAGAAACGTTTCATCCCTCATCCAGAGGACTTCCTCGGTCTACAGCCTGCCAACCAGATCTGTACCATAAGTAGCTAACTACCTAGCTAACTTTGTTAGATTTTTCTGCCTGTATTATTGAGCATGAATCAGGAAATGTGGATGTTGTACAACCAGTGGCGGGATGTAACAAAGGTCAAGTACTTTGTTACTGTACTTAAGTACATTTTTCATGTTTCAGTACTTTACTTAAGTAGAGTTAAACATGGGTACTTTTGACTTTTACTCTACTACATTTTACAATAAGTATCTGTACTTTCTACTACACTACATTTCTATAATGCGTTGTGTTACACGTTACATTCACGTTGTGTTTTTTTGATTTGTTTGTTACTTTGAAAGTAACCAATGTTGAGAGGAGAGCTGGTCCATTGAATCACTGCAAAGTGGGCAGGTAACGTTAGACCCGCCTTCAAGAAGAGCTGGACCAATGATGTATATTCTAGTATATGCATCATTGAGCTGAGCGCACCCACAGTACCACTAGCACACCCAGAATGTATTCCACCGTGGAGAGTCAGCCAGAAGATACGCACCACCCATGACCTTATTGAAAGATTATTGAAAGATTATTGAAAGACTGTTCAGTACAGCAGGACGGATTCTCTCTCCGAAAAGAGCCAGATTGGACTCAAAGAACTTTGAAAACCAACTTCTTCTGAACTTGAACAAGAAATTCTTGCTGCAATATTAAAATGTGTCAGTTCATGGGACGTTAGGAGACAAGAGATGTCTCCAAATGTCTCGACACTCAGGCCCAAGTTTTAAAAATGGCGTCAGGAAGTTAAAATATTGTTCAATATTGATCCATTACAAGGTTGAATAGACATATTTTAACTGGAGTTGAAATGATCAGAGCCTGTTCCTTTGTTGTGTCTAATGCTCCTTTCTTCAGGCAGACAACTTTTACTTAAATGTGTTTACTGCAGTTAAAATGACACATTGTTTTACTTTGTGTTAGATAAAAACTTTCAAAGGTAAAATCATTCCTCTTTCTTATTTTGCTTTATGACATTTAACTCTGCAGGTCACCCCTGAAATTCTGATGCACAGAATCACAAGTCCAGGTGTGAACTGTGTCACAGAGTAAACACAATAAAAACATGTATTATCTGCAGCGTCGTTCATTAAAACAACACTATTAATGTAATACAAAAAATATACATATGGTAGGTACACTTAATGATATGTAGACCACTGCATTAGGTAATACATTCAGCAAGTACTTTTACTTAAATACTTTGTCTTTTTAAAAGCAAGTACTGGTTCTTATTTACTTTTACTAAAGTAAATACATTAATGTGATACTTTTACTAGAGTACTTTTTTTTTCTTTTTATTTGTACTTAATAATAATAATAATAATGAATTTAATTTGTAATGCACTTTTCATTAACAAAAATCTCAAAGTGCTACTTTTACTTAAGTACAGTGTTTGAGTACTTTCTCCTCCACTGTCATAGTTTCTTATGAAGTGAAAGTACTATATAATGTACTACCTTCACCTGTGATCATAAGGTTGTTGTTTTGTTTTTTGCCTGATTGATATGTTGATAAGATGGCATTAGAATATAAAACAATCTTTATTTGATAGCTCATAAGGATGTCAAGAATCTTTGCCAGCTTTGACAGGTTAGCTAAAATTGTTTCTTAATACAAGATGATCTAAATCTAAAACTCTGGCATGAAAGTGGTGATATTATTATTTTAGAAAAACATGTGGCTGCAGGTGACGTGCTCATTCCTCACCACAGCTGTGTAGCTGAACAACATGGGCAGAGTTTCACTGAACACTCTTGACCTTAAGAAACCATGTGATGTCCAGTCTTTTGTTTTGTATTATGTACCATCATGACATTACACTTACCTCAATCCTTAATATTTCATGTTTAGAAAAAATAGATTCCCGGGACATTCATAAGACAGTCTTTTCTTTATTGCACCTACATAAATGGAGAGTGGTGGCACAGAGGTAAGAGAAGGTGGGCCTGTGATTGGAAGGTCACCGGTTTGACTCCCCAGACCGATAACGTCAAAATGTGGATGGAAAAGATGAAACACCCACACCTGCCTACACCCTCATTTGCCCCGCTCTGGGCCCTTGAGCAAGCCCCTTAGCCCCCACCATCTACTCCCAAACAGGTCTCTCTTTGGGCGGCTGTGGTTGAGTGGTTAGAGCAGTCGTCCTCCAATGCAAGAGTTGGGGGTTTGAATCCACCAGCAGTCACATGCCGAAGTGTCCCTGGGCAAGACACTGAACCCCTCTTTGCCTCTGATGTGTGTCCCATCAGTGTATGAATGTGAGAAAACACTGATTAGTCTCTTTAGAATGATTTGTTCAATTATCTTTGTAGAGATCTAGTATAGAGCTGTATGAATGGGTGAATGAGGCACAAATTGTTGTAAAGAGCTTTGAGTATCTTGATCAGATAGAAAGGTGCTGAATAAGTACAGTCCATTTACCATTTACCATCTTGAAAATGAGTCCTTGTGACTCAATGAGACTACCTGTATAAATAAAGATTAAATAAAAAAAAAAAAAAATACTGAGCATGGTTAGATAGGGTGAATCTTTTCCATACACTGACCCGTGATAACTCCTGACTGGGTTTGCTCCTGTGCAAAGCCGGTTGTTCTTCCAACACGTTTAATTTACTCTAATAATTTTCCTTCAGTAGTTACCTACGTGATGTTGTGTTGCACCACAACTTTAATCCAGTCTTTGTTTTACACATGAAAACATCCTGCAGCTGTTCATGTTCCCAAATCCATCTGTTAGTGTGTTATGTCGCATGACGAGCTGAGAACACAGTGTGAATCAGTAGCACAAACATTCAGTGTTCAGATGTGGCGCTCGTCTCTGCTCGCAGATGTTCCAGCTGTCACCTTTCAGACTAAACGAGCGCACAGAACAAAGACAAAATAGACCAGCACTTGGAGTCATTTTTACAGAATTATGTCTTAAAATCATGTTTGTTTGGTAGCAACAACGCCACTACTAATTTTTTTCACTGGCCTGTTTTTCAGGACTACCTGTTTTGATAGTTGGCATAACACTGGCGATATCAGCAGACAAGTACAAGGCCGAAGATCACTGCTGGCTCAGTGTGAAGACTGACACAATCTGGGCCTTTGTGGGACCAGTTATATTTATCTTGGCGGTGGGTATAATGCACACGTTTGTTTAATTGTGTACCATTATTACCTATAAAAGTGTTAAAAGTTATTATTAATTTATTTTAAACTTCTATGTTCATTTGAAGTGTAATTGATCAAGAAGTACATTTCTGCTCCGTGCTGCAGCTGTGTGAAGGGTTAACCCTTTGATGTCCTGCTGCACTTCTCTTCTCTACAATTTAAATTTAAATACTGTAAAATGTTACAGTATTTAAATTTAAATTGTTTATTTAAGGAGGGAGATTGGGAGTAACAGGTGATGAGTGTGTCTGCAGCCTGGCACATGTCATGACAAACTTTACTGAAGAACGGAACTTGAACTTGGACTACTGCATCCCTACTTTGCAGTTTTTCACTTATCGCGGGTGGACGTGGTCCCTAACACCCATGATAAACGAGGGACTACTGTACAAAAATAGTAAACCATAAAGGGCAGCATGGTGGCTCAGTTGCTAGAGCTGCCACCTCTCAGTGAGAAGGTCCCCGATTGCATGCCAGCTGGGGGCCTTTCTTTGTCTAGTTTGCATGTTCTCTCAGTGCATGCGTGGGTTTTCTCCGGGTACTCCGGTTTCCTCCCACAGACCAAAAACATGCATGTTAGGCTGATTGGTAACTCTAAATTGTCTCTAGGTGTGAGTGAGAGAGTGAATGGTTGGTTGTCTCGTTTGTCTCTATGTGTCCCGGTGATGGACTGGAGACCTGTCCAGGGTCTCCCCCATCTTTTGCACAGTGATGAATGGACATTGGCACCAGTGACCCCCGTGATCTGAAAAGGAAGCAGGCAAAAGATAATGGATGGATTAAACCATAAAATCTCTTAAGAACAGGCTGTTAAACATCTGACATGCATCTATGCACAATAATAAAGTCCAAAAGGAATAATTATTCATCTTCATATACAGAACGAGGCTTCTGCAGAGTTCAGGTGCTGCGTGGAAACATAAACAAAAGCTATACCGCTGTCATTTAAAGATTTTCAATATGTAACTCTGCAGGGCAACTAATGGTAAGAAACTGCCAAAGTACATCAAATGTGGGTTTATGTTGTTTATTTGTCAGGATGAGAAGGAACGATTTGACTTGTAACTCGACTCGGTGTAGTTTTTCTCCGTCTAAAGATTGTTTAGAACCGTGTTGTAGATAAATTTAATTTGACTACAGTTAATTCTGTGCTTACTGAATAACTTTCACAGATATTTAGCAGCTTTACAAGATTTTAAAGGACTAAATAATTATAAAGTATAAAGTGCTATGTGTTGTCATCATTGTATGTTCCCATACAAAGACGAAATTGGCTCTCTGCATTTAACCCATCGCACCTGGAATGCACAGGGGTGGAGCATTTTGGGTCACGGGGGTCGCCGGTGCCCATGTCCAGCAATCACTGTGCGAGGGGCGGGGTACACCCTGGATGGGTCGCAAGTCCATCACAGGGACACATAGAGACAAACAAGACAAATAACCATTCACTCTCTCACTCACACCTAGGGACAATTTAGAGTTACCAATCAGCCTAACATGCATGTTTTTGGTCTGTGGGAGGAAACCGGAGCACCCGGAGAAAACCCACGCATGCACGGACAGAACATGACAACTCCACCCAGAAGGCACATGGACCGTGGTTTGAACCAGGGACCTGCTCGCTGAGAGGCAGCAGCTCTACCAGTTGCGCCACCGTGCTGCCCTACTGAAATTATTAGATCCACTATTCCTACTAATGCAAGATCCTTTTAAACAATGGAAAAATATTACTGTTTCTTTCTACAAAAGCCTAAATATTTTGATTTTCATAATATAATAATGAATAAGTGGCTCCCACACCAAGAATCAACCCCCAGTCTATGGGGAGACAGGCAGAATTGCTCACCATCAGGCTACAATGAACTGATGGTAAATGGTCTCCACTGAGAGTGAGATATTCATGTTAGTTCCACCACTCCCATCTTTGGGTACACTCCCCACATGTCAGGAAATTAATGGACCTAACCACAGTTGAGATAATGAGAGGGAGGGCAGAATTTCTGAAAGACATAAATGCATCATTTTGCCTATATGGAAATGTTGGTGGATATGCTTCATTTTCTTTATATTTCTTAGCAGTATACAAGTAATTTCCTCAAATGATTTATTGAGCCAATAAAATGTATTTAGCATCTAATCAGAAGTGCAAAATACAGTATTACTACCAATTATTTACAGATAAAGCATATGGAATGAGTATGGAGAATGATGCTTTCAAATGTGAATGTTACATACAACAAAGACCATAAGTTATTATTTACAGTATAAATGTTGGATGAGATATGCACATATATCTTTATAGATGTATGAATGTGAGTTCATCAAAGCAAAACCATACTAGGTCAGTCAAGGCCCAGGTTAACAATGACCGTCACTGGTGCTGTTGACAAACAGGGTGCTGGCGGAAATTGTGCTATTTTCAGTCAAAGACCATGAGGAGGGAAACATGTCAGGAAACAGAAGGAGAAGAGGAAAGTCAAGAATTTAAGACTGAGGGTGGCAACTCTAAATGTGGGGACAATGACAGGCAAAGGTAGAGAGCTGGCTGACATGATGCAGAGAAGGAAGGTATATGTTTTATGTGTCCAAGAGACCAAGTGGAAGAGTAGCAAGGCTCTTAGCATTGGAGCAGGGTTGAAACTGTTTTATCATGGTGTAGATAGAAAGAGAAATTTAGTAGGGTTGGTCCTGAAGGAGGAGTTGGCAAAGAATGTAGTAGAGGCAAAACGAATGTTAGATATGGTGATGTGCCTGATGGTAGAAGGTCTGATGCTAAACATTGTCAGTGGTTATGCTCCACATTTTGGATGTGATGTAGAGGAGAAAGATACATTTTGGAAGGATCTAGATGAAGTGATGGAGAGTATTTCCAAGGAGGAGAGAGTGGTGATGGAAGCAGACCTGAATGTACATGTTGGGGAAGGAAACAGAGGGGATGAGGAAGTGATGGGTAGGTTTGGTGTCAAGGAAAGAAACAAGGAAGGACAGTTGGTGGTGGATTTTGCCAAGAGAATGGACATGGTCAATACCTATTTCCAAAATAGGGAGGAACATAGAGTGACTTATAACAGTGGAGGAAGGAGTACGCAGGTTGACTACATTCTGTGTAGAAGAGAAAACCTGAGGGAGACTGGAGACTGTAAGGTTGTGGCAGGGGAGAGTGTGGCTAGACAGCATCTGATGGTTGTGTGTAGAATGACTGTTGTTGTGAAGAAGAGAAAAAGAGTAAACTCAGAGAAGAAGACCAAATGGTGGAAGCTGAAGAAGGAAGAATGTTTTGAGAAATTCAGAGAGCTGTTAAAGGCTCTGGGTGGTAAGAAAGAACTTCCAGATGACTGGGCAACTACAGCAACAGTAATTAGAGAGACAGATAGGAAGGTACTTGGTGTGTCATCTGGACAGAGAATGGATGATAAGGAAACATGGCGGTGGAAAAGTGAAGTGCAGAAAGCTATTCAAAGAAAGAGGTTAGCCAAGAAGAAATATGACAGTGAGAGGACTGAAGAGAGGAGACAGTAATATAAGGAGATGGGATGTAGAGCAAAGAGGGAGGTGGCTAAGGCAAAGCAGAAGGCGTATGATGAGTTTTATGGGAGGCTGGACACTACAAAAAGTGAGAAGGACTTGTACCAGTTGGCAAGACAGAGGGATCAGGCTGAAAACGATGTGCATCAGGTTAGGTTTGTTAAAGATGGGAATGGTAATGTTCTAACAAGTGAGGAGAGTGTGATGGAAAGATGGAAGGAGTGTGTTGAGGAGTTAATGAATGCAGAGAATGAAAAAGAAAAAATAGATGTCATAGAAACTGTGGACAAGGAAGTGGGAAAGATTAGTGAGGGTTAAGTCTGGAAAGTTCTGAAAAGTTTGAAGAAATGGAAGGCAGGCAGTAGGACCTGATGACATACCAGTGGAGATTTGAAAATGTCTTGGAGAGATGGCAGTAAGGTTTTTGACTCAAATATTCAATGGTGTATTTGAGGGTAAGAAAATGCCTGAGAAATGGAGGAGAAGTGTGCTAGTGCCCATTTTTAAGAACAGTGGTGATGTACAGAGCTGTAGCAACTACAGGGGAATTAAGTTAATGAGCCACACAATGAAGACTTGGGAGAGAGTTGTGGAAGCTAGACTTAGACAAGAGGTGACTGTGAGCAGCAGTGTGGTTTCATGCCAAGAAAGAGTACCACACCATCTTTGCTATGAGGATGCTGATGGAGAAGTACAGAGAAAGTCAGAAAGAACTCCATTGTGTATTTGTGGATTTAGAAAAAGCATATGACAGAGTGCCGAGGGAGGAGGTGTGGTATTGCATGAGGAAATCTGGAGTGGCAAGTAAGTATGTTAGACTGGTACAGGACATGTATGAGGACAGTGGTGAGATGTGCTGTAGGAGTGACAGAGAGCGTTAAGGTGGAGGTGGGATTGCATCAAGGATCAGTGCTGAACCCCTTCTTGTTTGCTCTGGTGATGAACCGACTAACAGATGAGGTCAGGCAAGAATCCCCGTGGACTATGATGTTTGCAGATGACATTGTGATCTGTGGTGAGAACAGGGAACAGGTGGAAGAGAACTTGGAGAGGTGGAGGTATGCACTTGAAAGAAGAGGAAAGGCATTCAGTTGTAGTAAGACATAGTACATGTGTGTGAATGAGAGGGAGGTTGGTGGAACAATGAGTCTACAAGGAGCACAGGCCACAAAGGTGCAGGACTTCAAGTACTTGGGGTCCACTGTCCAGGAAAATGGAGAGTGTGGTAAAGATATGAAAAAGAGAGTCCAAGTGAGATGGAGTGGATAGAAAAAAGTTTCAGGAGTGATTTGCTACAAAAGGGTGTCAGCAAAGGTCAAAGGAAAAGTTTACAAGACAGTGGTGAGACCAGCAATGTTGTATGGTCTGGAGACATTGGTGTTGACAAAAAGACAGGAAAAAGAATTGGACGTGGCAAAAATGAAAATGTTGAGGTTTT